AAAAAAAAAAAAAGTCTCACAGACTTTCCTGCCCAGGCTGGCTTTGAACTGCGATCCTCAGATCTCAGCCTCCTCAGTAGCTAGGATTATAGGTGTGGGCCAATGGCGCCTGGCACTAATATTTAATTTTTGTGTGTGTGCCAGTACTGGGGCTTGAACTCAGGGCCTGGGTGCTGTCCCTTAGCTTTTTTGCTCAAGGCTAGCATTGTGCTACTTCAATACACCTCTACTTCTAGATTTTTTTTTTTTTTCCTGTCCTGCGGCTTGAAATCAGGATCAGGGTATAGTTCCTGAGCTTCTTTTTGCTCAAGGCCAGCACTCTATCACTTGAGCCACAGCATCACTTCTGGCTTTTTCTGTTTATGTGGTGCTGAGGAATCGAACCCAGGGCGTGATATATGCTAGGCAAGCGCTCTGCCACTGAGCCATATTCCCAGCCCCACTTCCAGATTTTTAATTTTTCTTTTTTAAGTTTTGCTGGTTAGTTGGAGATAAGAGTCTCACAGACTTTTCTAACTGGGCTGCCTTTGAACTTTGGTCTTTAGATCTCAGCCTCCTGAGTAGCTAGGATTATAGGCATAATCACTGGCAGTCTCCAGAGAATCTCTAGACTGATCCAGAGGAGTCTTCTGGTAAAACTAGTTTGGAATCTCTCAGAACTTAGAATATGGTCAGAATTCTTTGGACTTTAATAAATTTGATTTTCTAGGAACTGTTGACCTTCAAGGACATATCTGTAGACTTCACTCAGGAAGAATGGGGACAACTGGTCCCTACTTACCGAAATCTATACCGAGAGGTGATGCTAGAGAACTACAGGAACCTGGTGTCTGTAGGTAAGAGTGGGCCAGCCATGCTTCCAGAAGCATCTATTATAGGAGAGTCACTATTTTTAAATTATGATGTGGGGTCAGTGAAACTTGGCCTTGTTCTGTATTGTAAATGTCTTATTCCTTTGAAACACAAACCAGGCCAAATTTGATTCACCTTTCTTGGGGGAACAGCTTTTCTTCCTACAACTAAACTTTTACATGCTTTCAGAGCATGTAAAAGTAGAAGATATAACTAAATTCAGAAATGGTTTGTCAGTATAAACATTCATCCCCTTTTTTTAAATACCTTTAGCAGGATATCAGCTTTCCAAGCCCAGTATAATTTCCCAGTTGGAGAAAGGAGAAGAGCCATGGATGAGAGTGAATGAAGGCCCAGGAGATCCCATTTTAGGTGAGACCAGGCAGATGATACATGGGCTGGAGTACTCAGGATCTACCCAGCTCTGGGGAGGCGCAGCTATTGTATAATACCTGCATTAAATCTCATTCCAAGTTGAGTGACCATAGCTTATGCCTGTAATCCTAGCTACTTAGGAGGCTGAGATCTGAGGATTGCAGTTAGAAGCCAGCCTGGGCAGGAAAGTCCATGAGACTCTTATCTCCAATAAACTACTCAGAAAAAGCCAAAAGTGGTGTGGCTCGCTCGCCTTGAACTGAAGAGCTGAGGGACAGCGTGCAGGCCCATTGTTCAAGCCCCACAACCAACAATAACAACAAAAAATTGTTTAAATGCTGATCATTCTGGCTTGATCAGAAAATAAATCATACAAGGCTTGGCATGGTTGTACATGCCTGTGAACCCAGCACTCTGCAGATTCAGGCAGAAGGATTGCAAGTTTGACATAAGCTTGGGCTACATAGTGAGATGGTGTCTCAAAAAAAAAAGGGAAAGCAGTCTTAAAACCAGGCATAGTGGTGTGTGCATGTAATGTCAAAGGTCAGGAGGCTGAAGTAGGGGGATTAGGGGTCAAGGACAGCTTAGGCATAAACTTGAGACCCCATCTCAATAACTGGATACTGTGGGGATACTTGTAATCCTAGCTACATGGCATAAATAGTAGTATAAATAGTATAAATAGGATCATGGTCCAGGCCAGCTAGGGCATATATTAAGGTCCTATATGAAGGGACAAAAGAATGGGAACATGCCTTAAGAGAGTGTTTGCCTACAAAGCACAATTTTTCCCCATGCACAAAAATGTTTAAAAGAAGTTATAACTTCCACGAAGCTATATCTTCCACTTGAAATGTAAGGTGCAATGAATTATCAAGTATTAAAACTGGTTAATAGTTAGGCAGTGACAGTGGCTCATGCCTATAATCTTAGCTAATCAGAAGGCTGAGATCTGGAAGATCATGGTTTGAAGCTATCCATATCCAGGGCAGAAAAGTCCATGAGACTCCCATCTCCTGAATAATCAGCAAAAACCTTAGCTGGAGGCATGAATCAAAGGTACAACTTTTAGCTGAGTAAGCAGGTCAAGCAAATGCAAGCTCCTGAGTTTGAATTCTGATACAGGCAAAAAAAAAAAAAAGTACATAAAAAAAAAAAAACAGCTAATGCTTAAAGGAGATTTACCCACCAGTGCCAGTGGCTTATGCCACTGCTTAGCAGGCTAAGATCTAAGGATGATGGTTTGAAGCCAAGCTGGGCAGGAAAGTCTGTGAAATTCTTATATCCAATTAACCACCAAAAAAAAAAAAAAAAAAAAAAAGCCAGAAGTGGGGCTGTGGCTCAATGCCAACCTTGAACAAAAAAAACTCAGGGAAGCCAGGCACCAGTGGCTCACTACTGTAATCCTAGCTACTCAGGAGGCTGAGAACTGAGGATCAAGGTTTAAAGCCAGCACAGGCATGAAAGTCCGTGAGATTCTTATTTCCAATAAACCACTCAGAAAACTGGAAGTGGTATTGTGGCTCAAGTGGTAGAGCTAGCCTTGAGCTGAAGAGCTGAGGGACAGCGCCCAGGCACAGAATTCAAGCCCCACAACCAACAACAACAACAAAAACAGCTCAGGAATAGTTCCTAGGCCCTGAGTTCAGGCCCCAGGACCAACACACACACACACACACAAACACACACACTTTTCCTAGCCACACTAGCAATTATAATAGGGTAGGTTACCATTTTATAAATTATGTTTGCATGTATATATTAATAATTATAGGAAGAAACAATATAGATACACACCAATACGAATTTGAATAAAAGATAGCTTAAGGACTGGGAATGTGGCTTAGTGATAGAGTACTTAACTAGCATGCATGAAGCCCTGGGTTTGATTCTGCTATCTTTGAGCAAAAGAAGCTCAGGGAGGGCTGGGAAGGTGGCTCAGTGGTAGAGCTCTTGCCTTGCATGCATGAGGCCTTGGGTTCGATTCCTCAGCACCACATAAGCAAAAAGAAAAAAGCCGGAAGTGGCACTGTGGCTCAAGTGGTAGAGTGCTAGCCTTGAGCTGAAGAGCTGAGGGACAGCGTCCAGGCCCAGAGTTCAGGCCCCACGACCAGACCCCCCCCCCAAAAAAAGAAGCAGCTCAGGGACAGTGCCCAGACCCTGAGTTCAAGCCCCAGGACTGGCCAAAAAATAAAAATTAAAAAGATAGCTTAATGTTCTTAGGTCAAATACTCCTTTTTGAATTTCTGAGGTTGTGTTCCAAAAGCAATTGTCAACTAAAAGATATAGCACTAAAATAGCATTCTTAGTGTTATTAGAAGAAGCAAGTCTCAAAGATTCAGGTTTTACTATATGTATAACAAAAAAAAATGCATTTAACCTGTTCACTGTTTATATTTCATATTACCTCTCCAGACAGTACAACCATATTTAAATACAGAGAAAATCTCATGTACTCATCTCTGTAATTTTCTGTTCTGTAACTACTATAGCAGTTGATTTTTTTCAAAGCATAACTAATATGAGTTACCTGGAGTTTTTCATTTCTTTCAGACTTGAAGAATAAAACAGAAACCAGTGAGTCAACTGCAAAGAATGACATTTCCCAAGAACAGCTGTATCATGACATGGTGGGAAGACTCATAAGGGATGACATTATTTATTCCACACTGAACAAAGTCTCCAGATATGATGCCTTAGAAAGACACCAGGAAACCTGTGGACAGAGACAGGTTATTTTGAACCGCAAAAAGATAGGCCAAGTAGCTAAAAAATGTAGGGGAAATATTGTGAGTTCAAAAGTGACTTTAGAACAGAAGCACCATAAATTTAGCCCACCTAGAAAGAGGAACAAATGCAAAATAAATTTAATTAATCATCCAATAAGTTGCCTGAGAACAAAAATCTATGAATGTAATATATGTGAAAAAATGTTCAAACAACCCATTCATCTGACTGAGCACATGAGAATTCATACTGGTGAGAAACCTTTCAGATGTAAGGAATGTGGAAGAGCCTTTAGTCAAAGTGCATCTCTTAATACACACCAGCGAATTCACACTGGTGAGAAACCCTTTGAATGTGAGGAATGTGGCAAAGCCTTTCGACACCGCTCATCACTCAATCAGCATCACAGAACTCACACTGGGGAGAAACCTTTTGCCTGTGACAAATGTCAGAAAGCGTTCAGCCAGAACATTAGCTTGATCCAACATTTAAGGACTCATTCTGGAGAGAAGCCCTATACGTGCAATGAATGTGGGAAAACTTTCCGGCAGATTCGACACCTTAGCGAACATGTAAGAATTCACACTGGGGAGAAGCCCTATGCGTGCAATGCATGCTGTAAAACCTTTAGTCACAGAGCTTATCTAACGCACCATCAGAGAATCCACACTGGAGAAAGACCCTACAAATGTAAAGAATGTGGGAAAGCCTTTAGGCAGAGAATACACCTTAGCAACCATAAAACCGTTCATACAGGAGTGAAAGCATATGAATGCAACCGCTGTGGAAAAGCCTACAGGCATGATTCATCCTTTAAAAAGCATCAGAGGCACCATTCTGGAGAAAAACCTTATGAATGCAATGAATGTGGAAAATCCTTCAGCTATAATTCATCACTAAGTCGACACCAAAAAATACACAGGAGGAATGCCCTCAGAAATAATCTTTAAAAAAAAAAAACTGACATGGGAACAAAAGCCAAGTCTTTTTTTGTTTTTGGGTCAGTGGTGAGGCCTGAACTCTGGGCCTGGGTGCTGTTCCTCAGCTCAAGGCTAGTGCTCTATCACTTGAGCCACAGCGCCACTTCTGGCTTTTTTGCTTATGTGGTGCTGAGGAATCAAACCCAGAGCCCCATGCATGCAAGACAAGCATTCTACCACTGAGCCACTTTCCCAGCCCCTAAAAAGCCAACTCTTAAATCAGTATTCTAAGCTTTAAGATCTGAGGTCTCAAAACCATTTGAGAAAGTGACATAATGATGGCAGCTTTTATTTTTGCCTGATGTGTAAATAAGCGCTATATTGATAATGAGTGTCAGCTATACCTCTATACAAAATACTTAAGGATAAAATCTGGTTTTTGGAGTTAAATAAATTCATCATTATGAAAAACAATATAATTTTTTTATTTCATGGTTATTTAATTTCTTATGGGCATTTACTTACCAAATAATTTTTGTGCACTCTTGTAGCTTTTTCTGTTTATATCCACAAGAATGCCAGTAGTTTTTAAGCAGAAATGGCAGTACAAGAATATCTGCATATTACTTTCAGGTTTTTAATTGTTATTATGAAGGTGATGTACAGAGGGGTTACATAGTTAAAGAGTACATTTATTTATCTATTTATTTTTTGGCTAGTCCTGGGGCTTGAACTCCTGAGCACTGCTCCTGAGCCTCTCTGTGCACAAGGCTAGCACTCTACCACTTGAGGCTCAGTGCCACTTCCAGCTTTTTCTGTTTATGTGGTACTGAGGAATTGAACCCAGGCCTTCATGCATGCTAGGCAAGTAATCTACCACTAAGCCACATTCCCAGCCCAAGAGTACATAGGCCTTCATGCATGCTAGGCAAGTAATCTACCACTAAGCCACATTCCCAGCCCAAGAGTACATTTCTTTAATATGGTAATGACATTCTACACAATTTTTTTTTGGGGGTCCGGTCGTGGGGCCTGAACTCTGGGCCTGGGCACTGTCCCTTAGCTCTTCAACTCAAGGCTAGTGCTCTACCACTTGAGCCACAGCGCCACTTCCGGCTTTTTTTTCTTTTTGCTTATGTGGTGCTGAGGAATCGAACCCAGAGCCTCAGGCATGCAAGACAAGTGTTCTACCACTGAGCCACCTTCCCAGCCCCATTCTACACATTTCTATGTGAGTAATGCATAGCTGATTCCCAGATTTGGAATTTCTGTGCTAGTGCGTATGTACTTGTACTAGCAAACTGATAGCGACTGGACCACTTTTCCACCAAGAAGTTACAAAACTGTAGAAGCTGAAGCATATCCTAGGTCAGCAGTCTTGTCAGCTATCAAAGAAGCATCAGGTGTGGTGATGTATGCCTGTAATCACAGGCTGAGGCAGGAGGGCTGCCAAGTTTAATCAAGACCAGATCACTCTCAAAAACAACTTGCTTAACAACAAAGAGGAACAGCAATATCTTAACCTCAGCAAGACAGCCTTGAAGTTCTAGCTGACGCAAATCCCCCATATATAGTAGTACTCTCAATTGCAGAAGCCACAAAGAAATACACATATTCTTGAAGAGTAGTCAAGCCCACCTAGTCTTATCTGGAGAAGGAGGGGAAGCCTTTATGTCAACTGCTCTATTTCCTGACTTGAGATTGGGACTGATGGATGAGACTCACTTTAAGGCCACTGACCTACTTAGAGAATATAATCTTGGCTGCAAACCTTTTAATTGGAATGGAGAATTATAATCTTAATGACAGGGTATAGAAGGAATAATTGACCATTTATAGCATTTTACAAGATACTACTGTTAGCAGGCTAACACACAAGAGGGGTACACATTCCTACTTAATAGGCATTTATTAGCATTAATTAGTTAACATTTGTGAAAGCTGAGCACTGTTAGGATCACAGTGATTTTTTTTGGGGGGGTCGGTAATGGGGCTTGAACTCTGGGCTTGGGCACTATCCCTCAGCTCTTCAGCTCAAGGCCAGCGCTCTACCGCTTGAGCCACAATGCCACTTCCGGGTTTCTAGTATATTGGAGATAAAGAGTCACGGAGTTTCCTGCCTAGGCTGGCTTTGAACCGTGATCCTCAGATCTCAGCCTCCTGAGTAGCTAGGATTACAGGTGTGAGCAACTAGCACCTGGCGATCACAGTGATTTTTGTGTTAGTTTTCAATCTTATTAACACTTTATTAAAGCTTTAATTCTTCACTGTTAATGGATTTCCCCTCTGCTCCTACCACTAAAGAAGCCAGACTCCAAAACCCAGGACCTCCATTATATCTAGTGCTACTTCATAGCTTCATCTCATTTACCTTTCTCCTCCCCATATGGGTTCTGACTAAATTCAGTATGAGTTATTGGTTTGTAACAATTGAAGAAGTCATCAAAACAAATTCAGTAGGGCTACTTTTAAGTTTCACAGGTTGGTATTTGGAGCCAGGTGCCGGTGACTCATGCCTGTAATCCTAGCTACTCAGGAGGCTGAGATATGAGGATCCCAGTTCAAAGCCAGCCCAGGCAGGAAAGTCCGTGAGACAGCAGTGGTGCTGTAGCTCAAGTGGTAGAGCGCTTGCCTTGAGCAAGGGACAGCGCCCAGGCCCAGAGTTCAAGCCCCATGACCGACCAAAAAAAAAAAAAAAGGATGGTATTTTTAGAAAAATCTTGAAAATATCATAGAACTCGGGAGCTTCTGTGTATGCTAACAGTATGAACACAAACAAAAGGATATTTTCCCACATAACTCCAAAATCACTACTACACTAATACTGGCAATATCTAAAACAAAAAAGCACTTTAAAAGGACTGGGAAGGTGGCTCAGTGGTAGAGTGCTTGCCTTGCATGAGGCCCTGGGTTCGATTCCTCAGCACCACATAAGCATAAAAGGCCCAAAGTGGCACTGTAGCTCAAGTGGTAGAGCGCTAGCCTTGAGCTGAATGGCTGAGGGACAGCGCCCAGGCCCAGAGTTCAGGCCCCACGACCGACAAAAAAAAGCAAAGCAAAACTTTAAAAATAGATTTTTTGTTTTGTCATGGAAAGACAGGTTCTCCTTTTACATCTTTTCCCCTAAGGATATTCTATATTGTCACAGAACCTTCGTTGAAGAGAGTATCTTTTTCTCTCCATTGCTATGAAATGCCACCTGGTGGTTAAACCAAGTTTTCTGTAAAGAAAAGCAAAGTGAGTGTCGTCGGAGCCGGGAGAAGTTCGTGTTTGGGAAAGGCCTGCCACTGCTCAAATTCTGCTCTGATGGCATGTCTGCGGAAAAAGCATTATGCTTTCCTTCATTTACATCTGAAACTGTAACCATAACCTTTTCCAACGAAAAGGTTAAACCCAAGTAAACGGCGGGGGAAATACACAAATAAAGGGGAGAATCTGCATCTTTGAACAGCCCGCAGCTGTTCCTTCAGCTGGGGAAAAGCTAAAGGCGTGGGGCATACTGCGCTTGCGCCGCGGCCCGGCGCGCTGGGCCGGGGAGTGACAGGTCGGCCCAGAGCTTCTCGCAGGAAAGGTTGCGAGTTCCCACTAGAACAGAACCACACACACACGGCTCACAAGCCAGCTCCCAGAACTCTACCCGAGCCTCACTCGTAGCCCCGCGAGGATGGGGCGCCCCGCGAAGGCTTCTGGGAGGAGGTGGTGCTCGCGCTGCCGCTGCGCCTTCTGGGATTGGGCTTCCGGCGGCTTCCGGGTGCGCGGTCGGAGAGAGTCCGTGCATTTCCGAGGCTTCCTTCGAACAAAGAGAATCGGGCCTCGGCTGAGCGGAGGTTAGTGGAGGCTACGAGCAGGCTGCGGGGCTGGTCTGGCCGCGCCTCCGAGCCCAGGGGTGTCTCCTCCCGCTCCCTCCTTGGGGTGGGGGTCAGCCCCACCTGCCCCCCCCCCCAGCAGGCCGGGTTCCTCTGGATGCTGGGCCTTCGCCTGGAAGACCCGGCGATCGGCCACTAGCCTTTTTCAGCGCTGGGGTCTTGGTCCGTCCCCGGACGTTTGTACATTTGGGTGGTGTAGGGGCTCCGGGCGCACAGTGGTTGGGGTCTGAGGAAAGCGAACTCCTCCAAACTAATCAGAATGTTGAGCTTGAATCAAGGCAGTGACAGTTCCGCCAGAGCGGGAACCCATCGGAGAACCAGTCTCTCCGACCTGAAATGTTCTCCCAGAGTATCGAGTCTGAGGTTGGAGCTAGAGGAAGGAACCGACCTGGAAGCGTTAGTTCTTAATCCTTCCACCTGCAGGGAACAGGGACTGCATCGAGTAACTGCAGCCAGCGTGTGAGGAAAACGGAGGAGTTGTGCTGGCTCCAGGACAGAGGCAATTGTTACCTAGGGTCTGAGGTGGACTGTCACCTGTGCACTATGGATATGAGAGAAGGAAACATTGGAACGCGAAGGAATGGTCAGGCAAGAAAGGTCCAAAAGCCCCCATTCTACCATAGCAAGACTCCAAATGGTTAATCTGAGTTTATCCATGCAGACATCATCTTCAGAGTTTCTTTCTCACTTTGTCCTTTTACTTTTCTGCGCTTCCCGGTGAGATGGAAGATAAGACCCAGATGAGTAGGAGCTTCCTCGCTCCTAAACTTTAATCGTATTTGTCGGAGGAAATAGAATATCATCCCTTTCCTTGGGAAGTGAGAGGAAAACCATATTTATTGTCTACTATGTTTTATCACTCAATTATTAGGTAGCTGACTAGGGATAGGAGTACCCTACTCAACCTACTACATGTGTGTACTTGAACACTTGAACATGCATATGTGGGTACTAGTGCTTGAACTCAGGGCCTGGGCGCCGTCCCTTAGCTTTTTTTTTCTCTCTCAAGGTTAGCACTCTGCTGCACTTGCAGCTTTTTGGTGGTTGATTGGAATTAAGGGTTTCTTGGACTTTGCTGCCCTTGGCTGGCTTTGAACCCAAATCCTCAGATCTCAGCCTCCTGAATAGCTAAGATTAAAGGTGTACGCCTATCACATTTTAAAGATGTGTCAGTAGCTTCAGGAAAGCTAAAACATGTCCAAGATTATTCCAAAAGCAAGTCGTGTATTAGCAAATTCTGAATAATTGGATATTATTTAAAATTCATTTACAGTTTGTGCAATTATGCCTTCAGTTCATTAGAATTAGTGTAGGGCTGGGAAGGTGGCTCAGTGGTAGAGTGCTTGCCTTGCATGCATGAGGCCCTGGGTTCGATTCCTCAGCACCACATAAACAAAAAGAAAAAAAGCCAGAAGTGGCGCTGTGGCTCAGTAGTATAGTGTTAGACTTGAGCTGAAATGCTGAGGGACAGCGCCCAGGCCCAGAGTTTTCAGGCCCCACAACTGGACCCCCCCCAAAAAAAGAAAAAGAATTAAAGTAGTGTAGAGAACAATAGTTTTATAGAATATAAGCAAAAATTTTTAATATTTATTGCTTTTATTCCTTGCAAGCCATTTATGTATTCCTTCACTAGTGACATTTGGACTAAAAGTTAGGTGAGTACAACCATGACTAATATGAATAACATTTTCATGGTATAGTTCTTCAACCTGAGAGCTGATACATTTGGCTTACTTATCTCTTATTTGAATAATAAAATGGAAGCACTTGGCTCATAGTTACCTCTGTCAGCTCAGATTCTCAGTAAAATCATTTTTCTGACACCCAAAGTCAAAGACATGAGAGAAAAAAATAACAAACAAATGTAATATATAGCCTTCACTTCCTAGTCTAAAGAAATGCTAGGACAGGGTGGGAAGTTTGAATATAGACTGGAATGTTAGGGAATTCTTCTGTTGGGTATGAAAATAGTATTGTAGTCATGTAGACGAATTCTATTTGGGCCGATAATTCACTTTAAAATAGGTCAGCCAAGAATAGTACACAGTTGCACATATACGTGGTATGTACGTGGTGCTCATTGTTTTCTGGCTTCTACTTCTATGTTTTGGAAATATTTCCTAGTTTAAAAAAAGAGTATGTAGGGGCTGGGAAGGTGGCTCAGTGGTAGAGTGCTTGCTTAGCACATGAGGCCCTGGGTTCAATTCCTCAGCAATACATAAGCAGAAAAAGCCAGAAGTGGCGCTGTGGCTCAAGTGGTAGAGTGCTAGCCTTGAGTTGAAGAGTTGAGGGACAATGCTCAGGCCCAGAGTTCAGGCCTCACGACCGGCAAAAAAAGAAAAAAAGAGTATGTATCCCTCGTTAGGGTAATCAAATTATAAATGTAAATCACTTAATTTAGTGTAGCATATAATAACTGCATAATGCATGTTTACTTTTACTCACAGCAATACACTTTGGAGTTTTAGTCATGCTTAGAGATAGTTATTTCTCTTTTTACTTCTCCTCTTTAACCTGATGGTACTGGGGATTGAAACTATGACCTTAAGCCTGTTAGACAAGCACTTTACCATTTAAACCATGCCTTCAGCCCTTTTGTCTAGCTGTCCTCAAATTCACAAACCAGTCTCTTATCTCTTCAATAGCTGGGATTACAAGTGTATACCACCATGCTTAATTTCTCATTGAGACAGAAAATAAAATTAGTGGTAGAGCCAGGCACTGGTGTCTCACACCTGTAATCCCAGCTACTCAGGAGGCTGAGATTTGAGGATTGTGGTTTAAAAGCAGTGTGGGCAGGAAAGTCCATGAGACTCTTATCTCCAATTAACCACCAGAAAACCGGAAATGGCAATGTGGCTAAAGTGGTAGAGGGCTTACCTTGAGCTGAAGAGCTGAGGGACAGCACCCCAGGCCCCACAACTGACAAAAAAAAAAAAAAAAAGTGACAGATAATATAAGGAGAATAATGTATAAAGTTAGTAAGGGTAAATTAAATCCACCAAGAGCTTTTACTCACTGCCTTTCCCTTAACATATCTCAAGAATTATTGTCATTAAGAATGATAAAATAAGGGGGTCTGGGAAGGTGGCTCAGTGGTAGAGCACTTGCCTTGCATGCATGAGACCCTGGGTTCGATTACTCAGCACCACATAAGCAAAAAGAAAAAAAAAAGCCGGAAGTGGTGCTGTGGCTCAAGTGGTAGAGCACTGGCCTTGAGCTGAAGAGCTGAGGGACAGCGCCCAGGCCCAGAGTTCAGGCCCCATGACCAGACCCAAAAAAGAATGATAAAATAGCCAGGTGCTTGTGGCTCATGCCTGTGATCCTAGCTACTAAGCAAGCTGCAATCTGAGGATCATGGTTCAAAGCCAGCCGAGCAGGAAAATCCGTGAGACTTATCTCCAATAAACCACCAGAAAACCAGCCTTGAGCTGAAGAGCTAAGGGACAGCACCCAGGCCCAGAGTTCAAACCCCATGACTGACCAAAAAAAAATAAAAAAGGCAAACCTCAAATCTCTCTATTTGAATGAATTGAGGCCAACAAAGGTGATTTACTTAAAGTTATACACAATACTTTATTGGGAAATCTAGGAATAAAATTATTCCTCCACTTAAAAGATTTCTGCCATACTGGGGATATATCTCAGTGTTAAATCACCTGCCTAGCAAGTACTAGGCCCTGGATTCTATCCCTAACTCTGAAAAAAATCATTTTTTTGTAAGGCATGGATAATAGAAGGACCACTTTTGGTAAAGTCTGAGTGTATGTAACTCTTAAATATTTCTAATTGGCTTCTTTAAAGAAGTAGTTTGTAAGAGCTGGGGATATAGTTTGTTGGTAGAATGCATGCCTAGTATTCACAAGACCCTGAGTTCACTCCCTAAGACTACAGATAAAAGAGTTGTGGGGGCTGGGAATGTGTCTTAGTGGTAGAGTGCTTGCCTAGCATGCATGACGCTCTGGGTTTGATTCCTCAGTATCACATAAACAGAAAAGGCCAGAAGTAGCGCTGTAGCTCAAGTGGTAGAGTGCTATCCTTGAGCTAAAAGAAGCTCAGGGACAGTGCCCAGGCGCTGAGTTCAAGCCCCAGCACTGGCAAAAAAAAAAAAAAAAAAAGTTTTGCCGGGTGCTGGTGGCTCACGCCTGTAATCCTAGCTACTCAGATCTGAGATCTGAGGATTGCAGCTCAAAACCAGCCTGGGCAGGAAAGTCGGTGAGACTCTTACCTCCAATTAACCACCAGAAAACCAGAAGTGGTGCTGTGGCTCAAGTGGTAGTGCAGTAGCCTTGAACTGAAGAGCTTAGGGACAGAGCCCAAGCTCCACAATCGACCCCCCCCCAAAAAAAAGTTGTGATTTATCTCACTGGAATTTGAAAGTGCTTTGAGGAGGTATTTTTATTGGAAAAATGTATTTCTTTAAAATGTTATGCAGGGCCTCCTTGTTTAGTCCAGAGCTGTGCCATGGCGGAGGCTAGGGAAGAGGAAACTGTGTCAGCAGAAGCCTCGGGGTTCTCAGACTTGAGTGACTCAGAGTTCCTAGAGTTTCTGGACCTGGAAGATGATGAAAAATTATGTGCTTCACTTAGCAAGCCCGGTTCTTCCTCTGAACTCCCTGAGAAGGATGATAAGCCTCTAAGCTTACAGAACTGGAAAAGAGAATTGGATGTCTTATCACCCATGGAGAGATTTCACCTAAAATATTTATATGTCACTGACCTGTCTACTCAGAGCTGGTGTGAATTGCAAATGGCATATGAGAAGGAGCTTCCTGGTGATTTGAAACCAGAGAAGGCAGCTGTTTTGAACACTGGTGCTAGCATCCACCTAGCTAGAGAACTAGAACTTCATGATCTTGTGACTATCTCTGTCACCACTAAAGAAGATGCTTGGGCAATTAAGTTTCTGAACATACTATCAATGATTCCTACCCTGCAGTCAGAAGGGCGCATCAGAGAATTTCCAGTGTTTGGGGAAGTGGAAGGTATGTTTCTTGTTGGAGTGATTGATGAGCTGCACTATACAGCCAAAGGAGAATTAGAACTGACAGAACTCAAGACACGCAGGCGCGCTATGCTCCCTCTGGCAGCCCAGAAAAAGAAAGACTGTTTTCAAGTCAGTCTATACAAATGTATCTTTGATGCCATGGTGCAAGGGAAAGTGACTCCAGCAAGCCTAATCCAGCACACTAAATTGTGTCCAGACAAGCCACTGGGTCCTTCAGTGCTGAGGCATGCCCAGCAGGAAGGCTTTTCTGTGAAGTCTTTGGGTGACCTCTTGGAGCTAGTCTTTTTATCTGTCACACTATCTGACCTCCCAGTTATTGATATCCTGAAGATTGAGTATATTCATCAAGAAACTGCCACTGTGCTGGGTACAGATACTGTAGCCTTTGAAGAAAAAGAAGTGAGAGGCAAGGTTCAGCACTATATGGCTTATTGGATGGGACACCGAGAGCCTCAAGGGGTTGATGTAGAAGAGGCTTGGAAATGTCGGACATGCAACTATAAAAACATTTGTGAGTGGAGGAGGAGTGGTGGAGTGCTCAGCTCTGCACTGGAGCCCCAACACAAAAAAGCCAAATGAACTGAAGTTCTGCTTTCAGCAATGTCTGTCATCCTCTTCTAATGTATCTGAGTAGTGGGCCAGTCTCTGACCTGCTTTTGAGGATATTAATTTTTTTATATTTCTGCAACTTTTGATTATATTCAAATCTAGGACTGAGGCTCAAGGATGAGTAGGAGAGATTTGAGGTACACTGGCCCTTGAGCTTTGATATGTATTTCTAAGATTCTCATCATGTCTGGAAGAAAGGTATCCTGTAGCAGTTGTTTTCCTAAGAAAAAAATTTCAGTGTGGCTCGGTGGTAGAGTCCTTGCTAGCCTGCACAAAAGCCCCAGGTTCAATTCCTCATGTACCACATAAATGGAAAAGGCCAGAAGTGGCATTTTGGTGTGGTTCAAGTGGTAGAGTACTAGCCTTGAGCAAAAAAAAAAAGCTCAGGGACAGTGTCCAGGCCGTAGTTCAAGTACCATGGCCGGCAAAAAAGAAAACAATTTCAAGTTCTAATAAATCTTCCTTGTGCTCAGTGAAATTCTTTGTTTTTCAAGTACTTTCTATATTTCTATGTTTTACATAATAAAATGTAATGCTATCTAGGAGAGTTGAACTAATAGTTTTATTTTGTTTTCATAACCTCAGCCCTTCAATGATGCCCACTATATAATTGTAGCCTATCACAAACCCTTAAATTCATACATAAATATTTTGGAATAGAGTTGATAGAAGGAGCAAATCAAGAATTTGAGCAGAATATTTTCTTTTTTTCTTTCTATTTATTTTTAGAATTGTTATAGAGGTGATACACAGGGGTGTTACATTTACATGCATCAGGTAATGAGTACATTTCCTTTTGTAAGTGTCATCTGTTCCCTCATTCTCTCCCATCCCCTCCCTCTTGTCTCCACCCACGAATTGTATAGTTCACCTTCATCCATGTCTAGTGTGTTTTACTGCTGCACTTTTCACCCTTTTTCCTCAGATTCTGTGCCCTACCCCACCCCACCCCCCACAGACATGCATGTGAATATATTTCATATAAGATAAAGAATACAGAATCATCAGAAAAAAGAATAATTTTTTTTTTGGTCAGTTGTGGGGCTTGAACTCTGGGCCTGTGTGCTGTCCCTGCACTCTTCAGCTCAAGGCGAGCACTCTACCACTTGAGCCACAGCGCCACTATCAGGTTTCTAGTGGTTTATTGGAGATAAGAGTCTCACGGACTTTTCTGCCCAGGCTGGCTTTGAACCGCGAACCTCATATGTCAGCCTCCTGAGTAGCTAGGATTACAGGTGTGAGCCACAGGCACCTGGCCTAAGAATAAATTTTTTAAAAAGTTTTTGTTTCCATATCTTTGGAGTTTGTTTTTAGTATGTATATTATTTTATATAAATATGAAGAGGTATTTAGGTATTGTACCTTGGTGATTCCTAAGATTATCCTCCTTTGATCTTACTGTATATATCTAGAATCCTGTGTAATTTGTCATATCCCAGTGTGTTTTAGATCTAACTTCTGCATATCAGAGAGAACAAATGCTGTTTGTCTCTCTGATCTTTGCTTACCTCACTTAACATGATTTGTTGTAATTAGCAAAGTATTTTCAATGAAGTGTTAAGGGGAAGAGAAATCAAAATGGCAATATTAAATATGGAAGATATAGATGAAATGACTTTCATACACTGAGAAATCCAGCAATGCTGCCAAGAAAAAAAAATTGTTTTTTGCCTTTTTGTGGTATGGGTTTTGGGCCTCATATTTGCTAGACAAGTGCTCTGTGTACCTTTTGAGCCATGCCTCCAGTTTAAGAACAATTTTTATGTGTACAACAAGATAAGAACAACAAGAGTTGCACTTTGACAGTAGCAAAAACCTAGAAACTACCCAGGCCACTAGCATAGCTGATATGTGGTACAGCTGCCAAAACAAAAGACTACAGTAGCATGCAACATATGCATCAATTTAGCAATGCATTAGATAAAAGAGGTCCCAAAATACTACACACAGCATATTACCCTTTGTTATAAAGTAAAAAATACTAATGGCAAAACATTTTAAAGAAAATCTAGCAGGGCGCAGTGGCTCACACCTGTAATCCTAGCTATTCAGGAGGCTGATATCAGAGGATAGTGGTTCAAAGCCAACCCAGACAGGAAAGTCCGTGAGACTCTTTATCTCCAATAAACCACCGTGAGACTCTTTATCTCCAATAACCACCAGGAAACCAGAAGTGGCACTGTGGCTCAAGTGGTAGAGTGCTTGCCTTGAGCTGAAGAATTAAGGGACAGCGCCCAGGCCCAGAGTTCAAGCCCTATGACCAACCAAAATAAATAAATAGAAAAGAAAAAAATCTAGGGGCTGGGAAGTTGGCTCAGTGGTAGAATGCTTGCCTCACATTTAGGAGGCCCTGGGTTCGCTTCCTCAGCACCAAATAAGCAGAAAAAAGCCGGAAGTGGTGCTGTGGTTCAAGTAGTAGGGTGTAAGCCTTAAGCTAAAGAGCTGAGAGACAGTGCCCAGGCCCAGAGTTCAGGCAGGCCCTACAACCAACAAAAAAAGAAAATGTAAAGGTGATGGAGAGAAATCTCAAGCCATCTCAGAACACAGTGGAGTCCTTAGCTACAAACATTACCAAAGAGGCCATAGGAAATGATAGAGTTAGCACTTGTTTATGGAGATACTCAGATAATTTGTAGAAGTAGGTGGATAGAAGAAAATCAGTTGGCAGAGCTGGGATTTCTTTATTAATAGAAAGTTTAAGAGCTAGAAAATATGAATAATGTTAATATGATCTTGCTATTCCTACTGTTTGAACATATGGGAACTAGAAGTGTGAGTCAAGTGTCAGCCATGAACAAAAGCTAAGAATCGGAAGCCTTAAGTTCAACTCCCAGTAGTGGCACCAATAAATAAAATAAAGATCTGGACATCAGTAGCAAATAAAATAGGTTACTTCTGGAGGCCTGTCTGATATTTTTATGGACATTGGGAAACTTGTGAAAGCACTTTCCCATTTGCAGAGAGCCAGGCACTGTGCTAAGGCATGATTAAATCTGTCCACATTTAAGGGAGCTGAGGCTTAGAAGAGTTAAATAACCTTCCTAAGGTCCCACTGCTTGAAAGCAGATTCCAACTGGACACAGGGGCTCATGCCTCTCATCCTAGCTATTCAGGAGTCAGATTGGGAGAATCATGGTTCAGAGTTTACCTGAGAAAAAAATTAAATGAGAACCTGTTCTCAACTGATAAAAACCTGGGCAAATCACAGATGCATGGGAAATGTACACAGTAAAATTGTGAGCCAATGGGGCTGGAAAAGTGGCTCAGTGGTAAAGTGTTTGCCTTGTACACAAGAAGCCCTGGGTTTGATTCCTCAGCACCACATAAGCAGAAAAAGCCGGAAGTGGTGCTATGGTTCAAGTGGTATGGCACTAGCCTTCAGCTAAAGAGCTGAGGGACAGTGCTCAGGCCCAGAGTTCAGGCTCCACGACCTACAAAAAATAAATTTTTAAAAAAAATTGAGGACTAAGCTGTCCCTGGCAAAAGTGAGACCCTGAGAGATAAAGCAAAAAAGGGTTTGACTCCAATGGTAGAGCACCATCTATCAAGGGAGAGGCCCTGAAATCAAACTAATACTACCAAAAAGACTTCAGACTAGGTATGTACTATTGCAATGGTTATTAACCATTGTCCTACAAAGTTTTCTTACTGTTGTTAAGATTGTTGGACTATATACACATTTAGCAACTCTGAACCAAAATGCTGATACCAGAGCTGTTTCAGATATCTGATTCTCAAATTTCAGAATATTTGCACTGAATATATAATACAGTATCTTGAGAATGGGACCTCAAGCTGTTGCCCTAATGTAAAATACATTTCTGTCTTACATACATTCACATTTTCTGGAGGTAATTTTACACAGTATTGCTAGCGCAGCTATATTTTGATTGCAACTCATTCCATGAGATCAGGTGTGAAAATTTTCAGCTTCAACAACTTGGCATTCAAGAGTTTCTGGTTTGGGTTCATTTCAGATGATAGAGTCCAGTGCTCACTGGTATTATTATAGGCTCTATTAAGTTTGGGATTAAACTAGGGGTTATAGTAAGCTGGGTTTTTTTTTTTTTTGGTTGGTCGTGGGACTTGAACTCTGGGCCTGGGCGCTGTCCCTCAGCTCTTCAGCTCAAGGCAAGCGCTCTACCACTTGAG